AAAAATGATCATAGATGATGAAATAATAGCCTAAAATTAATAAAAGTTTTATCGTTAAATTATTATAATATTATTATCAAGAGGAAGGGTCAAAGGATTTATTGATTATTAATGACATTTTAGTCCATTTTAGAACATTCAAAATTTTGGGTAAACTTTTTTCTTGCGTCAGTGGTTGACCATAAATTAGTAATATGAAATTTTCACTTTTTTTTTGTGATGAAAACATTGATTTGGAAATTCTTGCAAAAATCAGATAATTGACGAATTTTAATGAAACTTTCAGGACTCATTCACAAATAAACGAAATTATTTTTAAAAGTTTCTTTTTTAGAAAATTTTCTTAAAATAATATTTACATCTGCTATACCTTACTTATTTAATTTTATGAAATTTAGAGAAATTCTTTTTTGTACGGCTTAATGCTTTTATCAGTTATAAGTAGAAGTCTTTGGAGAATTTCAGTATCAGTTTCTGTTTGTAAAACACAGCCCCAACTCATCGAAAATATGCTCTGAATCTTAAAATAAAAATGCAATAAAACTAAGACACTATTTAATTAGAAAAGCTTTTAATTGCTTTTATGAATAAGATATATTTGAAACCCTTTTGTTTTTTAAAAAAATCATTAAATAATGAATTTTTACAAGACCTGCTTCAATTTTTAAAATTTTAATTTGAATAATTTATAAATTTTAAAAACTTTTAAAATTCTGTATTAATTTGTAGTGGTTAGGTAACATTGTCCTTAAGTAAAAATTATATTTTATAGTCATAAATGGAATAGCTAACGGCAATTCAGTATTTCCATAAAGATATTTTGATTTTTATGTGCGTGTATAAACGTGCTGATTTTTGTAAATACGGACGTCTATACATGACATTATCAGAAATAACAGCAGTAACTATAGTAAATTTAAATTACCTAAAATTCAATAAATCATTTTTAAGATTACTGGGTAGTTAAAGAATTATATAAAAATGGCGTTCATGTTATATTTGTCTAATCATTTTTACAGATATGTCCCCCGTAGAAAAAAATACTGTATATTTCTGCGGATAAGACGACCTTTAAATTCCAAAAATCATCATAAGAATTGGGGGTCAGATTATGCTGCAATTCTAAAAATGAAACCTTAAAATCTGAGCGATATTTGTCGGTAGGCTAACCTATAACATACAGGAAAAGATTCACATTATCAAATAAACTGATAATAAAAGTAATAAAACCATTTCTATCTTATATATTACTGGCATAACTACATAATAAATTGCCTATTCGAAGAATAATTTCATAACAATGAAATGAACTTGTGTCCATGCAAGCTAAGCTGAGAAAATGTCAACATCGAGTTATGAATGCGTTCTCAGTAACCTTTATCTTTCGCTGCACTTTCAATAAAAGTGAAGTGTACTATTATCGTACATTATCGTAATGTTATTACATGTATTTTGTGATTGTCTATAAAGTATAAGTAAATGCCAATATTACATCAGGCTGTTTGTAAGTGTTTATATATAAGAAAAGAAGAGGAAGAAGTACAAGAAGAATCAGTATTCGCAACAGATCACGTGATGAAACGTAAACAAAACAATCGTTTCCATTTTAGATGACGCGTGTAGGAAAAACATGGTATAGAATCGTTGTTGTTATTTCGTTTATTTTGAATTTCTAAGGATACAATAAGTAACAACATTTCCAATAACATCATCATTGTATAATCAATAAGCAGTCATCTTATACTACAGGTATAAGATAAATTAATGAAAATTTGCCATATTTTTTTACCTCGTCTTATCTAAAGGTCGCCTTACACGCAACAATATACAGCAGGTAAATTTCCCAAACATCAGGCTGTCAATAGAGCTGTCAGCAGTTCTTAAAATCACCCACGTCCCTGTTAAAATGCTTTTCTGCCTTATCTTAAACTAAACTAATATTTCTTTCAAATAAGATTAAACTTTAAATCTTCCTCAAATAAAGTTCAAGATAACTATAATTTATTTTTGAAAGATGTTTTAATAAATACAATTACATTGCGTCGAGAGAATCCTAAATATGGCTAAAATTAGCGATTTTTAGAAATTAAAAAATCGTAATCAATTTCAATCGTTTTAAAAATACAGCAAAGTACATTGCTGATTGTTAATAAGAAATTTAATCTATTCAGTATTTACATTAGTCGGACTATTGTCCTCATCTTTGTCGCCATATTTGTCACAACGTTTCGGCCGTTGTACGCTCCGGCCTTCTTCAGGTGGTTGGAATTTCGAACTGAACCCTTTATTTCGATCGCTGGGGTAGACTGTTCTAATTCCACGTGCCATGTTTGATGGATGTCAGTTATCAGTTATCTCCTGCTCAATATGAGCACTGGTAAAAATGATGCTGAAAACATTAGGTTTATAATACTCAGAAGTTCATACCCAGATGTCCTCAAGGACACATGGCACAGTGGATAAAGGCGTTGGTTAGATCCAGTGACAGACCCAAAGAAGGTGAGTTCAATTCCTGGTTAAGGCAGTGGAGAACTTTCAGAGGGAAAATTAGCAGGAGATAACTGATAACTGACATCCATCAAACATGGCACGTGGAATTAGAACAGTCTACCCCAGCGATCGAAATAAAGGGTTCAGTTCGAAATTCCAACCACCTGAAGAAGGCCGGAGCGTACAACGGCCGAAACGTTGTGACAAATATGGCGACAAAGATGAGGACAATAGTCCGACTAATGTAAATACTGTACATAATACCTCATCTCAGAAATATAGACAAACTTTAATCTATTCGTTTGAAATTAAAACTAAAATAATCGAAAGATTTTTCATTTTTAAGAATTCATATAAGTATTAGGTATTTGGTATTAGGTATTGGCGGTACCTACTTACATATAAACGTTGTTTTCACATATGTTTTTTTTTTTTTACTAAAGATCACCGTTGAAAATACAGAATAACGCTCCAATCCGTGCTTGTATTTATTGTATAACTATTTATTTATGATTGATTTTACTTATGAAAAGTGAAGAAAAAGAAGAAAAAAATGACGGAAATTTAAAGCCAATCTCAACTGGTTTTTTAATTTGTTTTTTGAATCTTTAAATATATAATATGAACTCTGAATATTTACTTTATTAAAGTTAATTCCCTAGAGAAATCAAATCGACAGAAAATTTAATTTTAAGCTGCGGAAAATTATGCTCTGAATCAGAAAATAAAACTAGATTTTTTTTCTCCAAATGTTTTTAATTAATTTTTTTATATAAATTATTCTGTAGACTTATTGGTTGGAATAAAATCGTTGGTAATTAAAAAATACTTTCATTTATTTAATTACTAAATATTTTTAATATTTTAAGTGGCCTATTCGGGACAATTCTAAGTTTTTTTTTTTCTTTCAATAATTACGTTTTAATAAGACTTGTCGTTAATGAATTTCTCGTGATTGTATTTCTTAAACAGTTTGTCTAATTAACAGTTGTAAAATAAGTCGAGGTAGATTCTATTTTCTTTTGCTTTTGCTAAGGTAGTAAAGGAAATCAGTAAGAAAAGACTATCAAGTGTAAGACGACAGAAGAGGAACAATATTGAAATAGCGGAAGTAGTTTTCAAAAGCTAAGTAAAGTATTAAGAAACAGGAAAATTTCGTTGGAAACAAAGAAGAGAGAGTTGAAGAGTAATGTAATGTCAATCCTTCCCTATGGAAGCGGATACGGGACAGTTTTCTCACTGATAAAGAGGAGATTTGAAGCGATGGAAACTATGGAGAGAACATGTGATCAACGAGGATGTTTTAATGAAAATGGAAACAAAAAGGACAATTGTAATCTGAATCAGAAAGAGGCCGTTGAAATTTCTGGGACGAATAATGAGGAAAGCGGGTTAGGAGAATATGACACACACAGAACATAATGGAAGCAAGAGCGACAAAGGGAAACATCGAGTAACTAACCAAACGTGATCCAATAAATGGATCGCAGAACATAAACCAGGAAGGATATTAAGGGAGCAATCAGTACTTAGATTTACAAAGGATAAGAGTTATGATCGCTCATATCCTGAAGGGAAACAACATATAAAAGAAGAAACTCTTTTTCTATATTCATCGAAGTGTTTTGGTATTCTGGAGATCCAGAGGTACTGATATCTGTATCATCCGTCATGGAATTTCTAATTCTGCGATCAGTTATGCGCCAGGCGATCATATTTCTTTCTCTGACTGACAAGGCGGATTTTTTTCCCGCAGTACGTTGCCATTTCTTTCTGCGGTAGAGTAGTTGCTATCCAAGGCTATAGAACCCAGTCTGTCCTGTTGTTTACCCATAGCTGGAAGGGAAAAGAAGAGAATGTATACCTTTCCAAGGTTATTAGGACTAAAGTGAATGTAATGAATTTGACTGGGATTCGAACTCGGGCCGCTATCCATTACTCCACCGTGCCTCCTCCGTGTTTAGGATTGGCGGTTCCGGTTCCTTGTAATGTCTACTTCAACTCTATACTTCTAAAATCTCAGCCGAAACATTTTATTTATCAATTAATTACTTTTTCTTTTCTCAATAGGAGTAGATAGGTTCGCCTGTTGTCCGATTCACACTCCTCCCCAGGATTAGAAGTTTTTCTCTTGTTTCCTGTTTAGGATTGAGTTTCTGTTTGTAATCCTCTACATCTAGCGGATCTTGGGCCTTGCACAGAGTGAATACCATTCTAAAAATAAACAGCGCTTTCTATTTGAGGAACACTGTAAAAATCCTTAGTGAACGAAATAAGATGCTATGTCGGCTCCATAGTTGAAACAGAGAATACTTGAAGGCATGTTGAAGTGCTTATCAGCAGGAAAGAAATTATAAGGAATAAAATTATTCTCATTGTTAGGGCTTCTGAATCGAAAGCTGGCGCCATATGTCTTACCTCCAGTGAATCCTATTAGAAAATTATTAATCATTGCTGTTGGGTGAGTAGTTTTATCTTAATTAACATGAGAAATCGCCGGGTGGAATGGGTTAAAAAACATCAGTGACTTGAAAAAACAGAGAGAAAAACAATTTCCCTTCGGTAGAAGACAAGGAAGGTGCTTGTTTCGAAAACGAGATGGTATTCTTGGATAGAGAGGTAAAGCTGGTGCCTACGAAAACTTTCTTGCAAACGTACGTACCAACGCTGGAGCCTGTTTGGCGCGAAAATTCGCTGCTTTGGTGAGTGCGAACATAGCGTTTACACAAGTGCAGTTTAGAAAAAGAGAGAGAGAGAGAGAGGGAGGTAGATAGAGAGAGAGAGTGAGAGAAAGAGGGTGGAGAGAGGGAGGTAGATAGAGAGAGAGAGTGAGAGTGAGAGAAAGAGGGTGGAGAGAGGGAGGTAGATAGAGAGAGAGAGAGAGAGGCAATCTACATTGCCTTCTGGCATCGGCTGTCACTTTGAAAATGCTGCCTGTTAAAAGTTAGATGACGACCGAACCAACGTGGAATAGGAAGCCAAGAGTTGAGAGAATGAAAATACAGTGAGTAGTTTGCAGACAGTCTGAGGGGGGGGCAAAGGGTAATAACCTCAGTCGCCATGTCAGACTTTGTGTATCCCTACAACTGCACTTAATGTCCTCTTCCAGACACCGGCATCATAAGTGCGTTCAGTTTTTTTGTTTTTTTAATTCTTACTACATGGCGTCTTCGGATGCATGTTACCTTATATAGAAATGCCCAAATTTGTTAACTACCGTCTTTTCCAATTTTCTCGTTTTTCCCTATCGCCGTGTCATTATTTTATCTATTCTGGTCACAATTACAAGAAAATAGGAAGACAGTACAATATTTAAAAATGGGGCCTTCTGGGATTACTTCTTTTTGTACGAACTTATTGGATTAAGTTTAAGCTCTCAAGACAACATTCTACTCTTTAATTTTCATTCAATTCTATTAGGATTCCACTCAGTGACTTTCTCTGCGTACAAATTCAAGTCATAAGAAACAAAGTTCCTCTCAGCCATTCTAATGATATCCCTTCTAATTCTTTTAATATATATATTTACGTTTTATCACCGCCGTAAGGTTGACTCTCTGTCTTTTATATAAATACTTTCCTTGTAATTGTTCGGATGAACTCTTTGCTATGGCACCTAGACTTTATGAAGTTAAGCGCAGTACTAGACTGGCGCTGAGATCTCATCAATTTACAGTTGAGCTGGCTAGATGTAGCCATAAGTTCTAGGCTAACAGTTTCTTTTCTCGCACTTCTCGATCGTGGAAGTTTTTTTTTCCGGCTCCATGCTTCCCAGCCAAATTCAATCTGAAAAAAATTAAAGACAATGTTAATCGCTCTCAGTAATTCTCCTGATTACTCTTTTCTCTTTCTGCTCATTAGTAATGTTTCTGTTTCTAATTCTTCCTCACCCAGTAACCCCTTGTGTCTTAGTGGCTTTACCGCCTTGCTTGGGAGGAAATGAGAAAAGAAAGGGAAGAAAAAGGGAGGACAAAAAGACTGGAAAGGGGGTGAAGGGAAATTAAAGGGAAGAAAGAAGATTATAAGGAGAGGAAATGAAAGGAGAGGAGAGAGAGAGAGAGAGAGAGAGAGAGAGAGAGAAGAAAAAGAGAAATAATCTATATAATGATGAGAGGAAATAGATTAGATAACAAAATGATCGATAAACAGGAAGTTCCAAAATTTTCGCTGGTACATTCACTGTCCAAGATCAGATGAAAGCAGAGATTTCGAGTGATGGTTTTCAAGCGAGCGAACGAGAGAGAGAGAGAGAGAGAGGGGGGAGAGAGACAGACAGACAGACAGACTCCATTTGGAGTATTGGCGCAATATAATCTCCCTGTCATATATTTTCCGTCCCATTTGGCTTTACGTACTATTGTGACGGTTACACACCTGGCCCAGTGTCGGATCCTTTGGTTACGGCGCCAACGGTGACGTCGCTCCTCCTGGTCGCTCCTCCTGGGTCCAAGCGTGCCGCTCCAACCCTTTGGTCAGATGATCACCAGCCTCGCCTTTCCCGACTCGCTTCCAATACCTGGTCACTAAAGCAACTATACCGATCTCCGGTCTGTCTACCCACGCTGTGTTTAGATCTTAGACAGACGGGACCAGCAGGGATCGGGGCCGATACAAGTTGAGTCCGACGGGGTGGCAAAACACAAATAAAATAAAACTCACGACACCAAACAAAATTGCTGATAAAAGGGTAACAACCTTTTATATCTTAAAGTCCGTTACATAAAAACAAAAGTGTTCTCATTTCCCGACCCGCTCTGTGGACTATGGCACCAAGCTTCTATCACACAATAGAAAAATGTCGAATTACCTACTTTCTAGAATCATGTATGTATGTCGGAGTGTGGTTCAGTTCGACACTGGGGCTAATTTCTATCGATCATTCGCAGTTGATTCTTCTCTCCGACTTGAGTTGTATTTCTTCTTCTTCGTCTGCTTGGGCTGGTAGTTTCCCTGTTTCAACTTGGTGGAAGATTTCTTGTTTCAACTTAGCCGCAACTCTCTGTCGTCTGAGGTGGTCTCTTCTCACTGCCGTCCGGAGCTGAACTTTAACTTCTCATCGACTTTCGGCTTGTCTGCAGCTCCAATTCTTCTCAGGCTTTTCAGGCAATCTTCTTCTTCATCTACTTGGGCTGGAAGTTCTTCTTGTCTTCGACTTGGGCTGGAAGGATTTCTTGTCTGAGGATTCTTCTGCCCGCAAAGGGGGAGGAATCGGGCCTGATGGCCGCGTTCAGGCTCTATCCCTGCCCGCGGTCCAACTCTCAACTCCAACTGCAACTCCACTCCATCTGCAACTCCAACTCAACTGATTTCTGTCGACTGGGGTCCTGCTTATATTGACGCCGCAACAAACTGGGGTGGGTCTGTCGGCGTCAGGGTTTTCTCGATAATTCAAAAGCTGCATTAATTCTGTCTTCCATTATCGCTATTGTTTTCGCCCCTACTTCCTCGCAGTACCTTTGGTGGGGCGGCGCACATCCATCTCTCTTAGTCTCTCGTATGTCAGGTGACCGCTTTTCAACCAATCGTTCCTGATCGAGCATTTCTTTCCCTTTTCTTCCGCAGGTCACGTGATCGTATTCGACCAATTGTTATTGATCGAACATTTCTTTCCTTTTCTTCCGCAGGTCACGTGATCGTATTCGACCAATTGTTATTGATCGAACATCCTTTCCCCTCTGTTTGCGGGCGTGGTTACATCGTTCTTGTTAAAAAAAAACAAAATCAATTTTGCCCCTTTTTGCACGTACGCAAAATGACAATCTTTGGCTTTTCTCACCTGGACTTTGTCAAACAGCCCGCTGCTAATTAGTCTTGACTTTAGAAAGGATCTTTTCCCGCCTTCTTGGCGCCCTCTGTGAAAAAAGCAATTGTCCCTCTTTTTACCTCTTTGTTTTTCCTGATAGTCGAAAATCTTAATTATCTACATTGAAATGTCTCTACTTTATTAACGTGGGTGTCCAATTCTTAACAGGTCTGTATATCGTTCCACCGGTCCTCCCCTCAACCCAAAGACACTTTTTCTCTGATTAAAATTGTTTCCTTGTTCCCCAAAATTTCTCTTTATCCAAATTGATAAGGTGTCTTTCCATGCAAAAAGTAGGCTAGGTGCTTTGACCGACATTCTTATCAAAATGACTTTTCGAAAATCGGCCAAGACGCTGACCCAAATCTCTTTCTGACTCCTATCTCCACCCTCAATTGGGTCATGCGTCATACATTTCTCTTTCTTTCTTTTCTTCCTTCCTTCCTTTTTCCTTTCTTTTCCTTCTTCTTTCCTTAGGATCGTCTAGTACTCTCTTAGTGAATTATTTTCAACTCAGTTATTTTCCGTTTTAAAAAAAATTAACAACCTGTTTAATAAACTGAGTAAGAAAAAAATTAAATCATATTTCTATGAATATTTCTAATAATGCAAGGTGCCACAATCCTCCCTAACCGATTTGTCATTTACCCGTAAATGACACCTAAATAATTACATCATTTAACATGCACCATGCATTTGTCTCATGCAATTCTATTCTACTTTCTAACATGCAAGGGTAATGTTCTTTCCATTTTCTTTTGTTCTACATGCAATGAAATGTTCTTTTCATTTTCTTTTGTTCTACATGCAATGAAATGTTCTTTTCATTTTCTTTTGTTCTACAGGCAATGTAATGTTCTTTTCATTTTCTTCTGTTCTACATGCAATGAAATGTTCTTTCATTTTCTTCTGTTCTACATGCAATGAAATGTTCTTTTCATTTTCTTTTTGTTCTACATGCAATGTAATGTTCTTTTTCATTTTCTTCTGTTCTACATGCAATGAAATGTTCTTTTCATTTTCTTCTGTTCTACATGCAATGAAATGTTCTTTTCATTTTCTTCTGTTCTACATGCAATGAAATGTTCTTTTCATTTTCTTCTGTTCTACATGCAATGAAATGTTCTTTTCATTTTCTTTTGTTCTACATGCAATGAAATGTTCTCTTCATTTTCTTTTTTTTTACATGCAAGGTAATGTGTGCGTGTGTTTGTAGGTGCAGATGTGTTCACTAGGGTTTGTTCTTCTTGGTCAATGTTTTCCTCTCTGCCGTGGGAGGTTTTCCCGCCGCACGTGGTGGTCTCACGCCAGCCTCCTCCATTGGTCTTTCAGCAATTTCTTCGCCAGTCCTGTCTGAGTAAGGAACACTGCTCGGCATCTCCCTCTCGAGTTGTTGCATGCTCACTAGACTGTCGTTCGCTAATCTTCTCTTACTCTTAATCTTCCATATTATTACACCCCCGATGGCTATAACTAGGAATGTACCCATTACTATTGACCAACTTATCGCGATCTGCTCATCGTCTTCCCAAGCTACACCTTCGTCTCCCAACGCACTTAACTTATCTCTTAAGTGATCCATATCGATCTTTTCTATTGGCTTCATTAATACTGGCATCTTATTTAAGGTGACATTAGAGAATCTCTTCACTATCGGCTCCCATAATTCTGTACAATTGACTAAGCCTCTACCAATCATCTCTATGAGTGAGTCTTTTCTTCATACCTTTCTTCCATCTGGTAATAGGGGGCAAGGAGATGGACACCCCAACCGCCGAACATCCCATGGGTAGCGTCACCAGGGATAACGGTGGCCTTATTCTTAATGTCCTTGTGGACTCTCCCCACATACCCTAGACAGGCTGAAATGTTTCTGTGTGGCTACTGCCCACACCCCGTCTGAAACACTGATAGCTTGTGGTAATGCTGAGTTTGTTAATACCTCTACTTGGCAGATTCTTTTGATTCCTTCCCCTTCTCTTCAAACAATTCTAATATGCACATTCTGCGGTTACCAGTTTTGTAGATAGGGCTCAACGAGGTACAAGTCCCCAGGGTATCATCTCTACACCTTCTAGCTTCTTCAGCTGATAGCAACATAAATTTCTTGTTCTCCCCTGAATTTAATGCTATGTAGTCTGCTTCCACCTTGTACCTAGCTATCATTCCTGAAAGGTAACAAATTCTCTTGTTGTTATTCTTCACAACCACTTAGTCTCGCTCGACTCATCACTCAATCATTTCATAACTTTTCTCTTAGTTCGGCTCTTCCCTCCTCTAACTAACCCCTAGCAGACAGAATGGTCTGGTCAGGTGTGCGTGGCGCCCAGTCTAAAGGTCGTACTTCATGACACCACTGGTGGCCAATCAATAATGCCAATGATCTTCCGTTCCTCGTGAGGTGCAGCCCGTGACTCCATCCCTCCACTCACATCTACCATAGTCAGCCAATAGGATCTTGGACGAGCCAGTGTCGTTATCTGTTGACACTAAATGCTTCTATTCTGCACAGCCCTTTTGTTCTACTGAGATTTGGGGTTCTTCTCCTCCCTGATCTCATCTTCCGAGGTGATTCCTGCTCAACCTCCACCCCTTCCTTCTGTGTTTAACTCCCGTCCAGGAGGTTTTTTTGTCCTCTTCTTCATCCTCTGATTCTTCTTTCTGTTTAGAGTCTTCGCCTTGAATGTCTTCAATACCTCTCGACTCTATGTCTAAACTTCTCCTGTTCCTTATCCTTTCCCTAAGCTGGGAAAGGGGTATCTGATCCTCCTCCTCCCCTCGCTGGACCCTTCGTCTTGTTCAGGGTGCCTTTTTTTAGAGCCTTCGACTGCTTGATTGGACCTCTTCGTCTTTTTCTTCCTTTTCTTCGGACATGGGGGTGTGATGGCGATCTCACGGGGTCTTCTCTGCACTGATTCAGTCGACGACTGAACATCGCTAATCCCGCTGAGGGTTCCAACTCCGTCACTCGGACTGCTTCGTTTATCTGGTCAAGTCGACCTATCTCCTCATCTTCTTCGGAGTCTTCCTCCGTCTCCATTCCTTCCGGTTCAACCAGAGTTACCTTCCTTTTCCTTGTCTTCTTAGGCCTCGGCTCGCTCATTTCCAGGTTAGCTTATTTCAGCCTTCTTTCAGATCATTGGCATGAACCCTCCTCGCTCGTCCTGCCACTTGATCCCATATTACATATGATACTGGGCCCGTCTGCTCTACTATCCGGTAGTACGGTTCCCATCTCTGGTCCAGTTTTCCCTCTCTCTGGTGGATTTTATAGTAGACAGGGTCTCCAACCTTCAATTCCACCACCTTTCTTTCAGCATTCACCCTCTCATTTCTTTTCTTCTGGGCCCTCTTTATTCTTCTTCTGGCCTGTACGAATATCTTATGTTGCTGTTCCAGCAATAGTTGATGATGATCTTCTCCCATATACCTTCTTCGGGGCTTCAGTAGGTTATCTACAGGCAGGACCACGTCTCTGCCAAACAACA